GCAAAAATGTCAAAAATTCTGTGTTTTTCTGTCAATATGGGGTGCTGTGTGTACATTAATGAGGAAAAAAAATGAACTTAAATGATTTTAGCATATGGCTGCAATATAACAAAGAGTGAAAAATTTAAGGGGATCTGAATACTTTCTGTACCCACTGTACATTAGCCCATGTGAACCTCCTGCTTTTTACCATCCGAAAGACAGAAATATATAGTAGTAGACACATCTCAGTATAGTACAAAAACTATGTGGACAATTAGCTTCACTTAGTGCCAATATATGATTTAATATGATTTATTATTTATCAGCAGGAGGGGCTCATGGAAAGAGATGTTGTTTTTTTTATTTTTTCTGAAATACAAGTGAGTCATTTCAATTAAATTCAATTCAGTTCAAATCAAATGACTTTATTTCCCCCCTGGTGGCAATTAAAAAGAGCATGAAGAGTAGATCAGTAAGGTCATTAAGATATGTTTTCCATGCAAAGCCATCAGTCTACCTGTTGTCACCAAGATTCTGAAACTCTAAATGCATGTAACAACCATTAACATGCACTATGTGTGCTGTCTCATACTAAAAGTGTTTCTTTCCTATACCTGTTTTTGTGCAAAACTATCAACTGCCTTATTAAAACCCAGGGCTCTGACCAGATTGCTACTTGAATGCAGAATCTTTGAGTGTGAAAAGATCAAAGAATTAGGAAAACAAACACACACAAAAAAACAGTAAAAGATTTAGATATATGCAGAAAAACAAAAAGAGAAGGAGTTACATAAGAAAAAGAAAATATCAGCTAAAAGCCCTAAGGATGTAGAAAACTGTGTCTGAATATGTGGGAAAATGAAGCTGAAAACAGGGAAAGAAAGAGAGTGTTAAAGAAAATGCCAAAATCACAAAAGACTAAAGAATGTCATCTCAACAAAGGTGAAAACAGTAATCTGCTGCCTAGTTCTTCTCTGTATCCGCAGCTGGCGGCTCTGAAGCTCACCCTGACTTCGACGTCTGTCCACCAATCGCACCTCCTCCTCCATCTCACAATGCTGTGTCCACCACAGTTCAACGACAAGACCGTTCCGATGATCCACCACCATATATCTCAAACAGCCTGTGCACCGTACCCGCTAATGCCTCTCCTTGAATAACCAGATCCACCTACCCATCAGGTTCCTGTCACCAGGACAAAGAACACACGCTGGTACTTATTATGGTCTGCCAGGCACACCTCACACTTCTTCACAACACACAGAGCTGACTCTACCAATGGTCATATCTTAGGCCCTACCAGGGCCATCCTCGTGCTCCAAACATGGACTACTGCTGACATCACTACTGCAACACAGCATCTCCCAGATCTGACAGCATCTAGACAGAAATTTGCAAAGCAGCTCAACATTTTATGCACTGAATTTTGTCTCACCATGACAGAACTAAAATGCACTGAGACCTGAAATTGCAGCAGTGGTTAAGACATCCTGTGTTGGTTACACAGACATCGTCTGAATGAACCACGATGCCATGTCAGTCACGCTCAAGAAAAACTGCAACAGGAAAAGAGGAACAAAGAGAACAAAACCAAAAAGGAGTTATACATGGCTGCAATGGCCATGTACCAGGCTGTTCAAGGACAACATGAATGTGAGGCTGAGGGACAGAGAGACTTCCAAAGAGGTGGACAGGGTCCCAGGGGATGAGGATGTGGTTTTGGTAGCTGACCCCCTGTGCCCAGAGATGTCTGTTTTTATTGCGGCCAAAAAGGACACTGGCAAAAAAAAAAAAAAAAGTGTCCTGAGAGGAGGGCTCCACGACCACTATCACCTGCAACATCACGCCCTCCCACTGTATCACACCGAGGCCAGGTTGGTGGCGGCGGAGGGGAAGGAGAGACAGCTGAGGAGACGAGACACAGCGGCTACAGATAAGTGAAAACACACACACTGCACACTGCAATGAAAAACAGCTTGCTGATAATAACCTGCACGCTCTCATACATACAGCATTATGGTATTAGAAAGGAGATTTGAGCCTCTGGACACGTATGTCAAATATGAATCTGAAGCATACAAACAATTTCCTCAGTTCACACTCCTTATTCAGGGACAGCCAGTTACATTCCTTGTTGATTCAGGAGCCACTAGTTCTCTCATTAAAACTTCACAGTTTCCACACCCTCCAAAGATGTCTGGTAACGTTGTGTATTCTGTAGGAGTCTCAGGGAAAACTATCAAAGAACATACAACTCCTCTTTCGTGCGCCCTCCCTGAAGGAAGATCCCTCAAACATAGATTTCTGCTGTCTTCACATTGTCCTGTCAATCTCTTAGGCAGAGATCTCATGTGCAAACTTAGAATCTCTCTTTGTTCAACCCCCCGATGGCATTACTGTCCACCACGACAGTGACGCAGACGCACACACAACACACTCATTTGTGTTCAATAGCCCTTTTAAGCAGACACATGCTTATGAGTGGAAATTACAAAATGGTTCATTGACTTCCTCACTTGTAGCTGAGGCCACACAACTGGTTCTTAATGAGCACACTGATTTTATGACTCATTTGTGTTCAATAGCCCTTTTAAGCAGACACATGCTTATTAGTGGAAATTGCAAAATGGTTCATTGACTTCCTCACTTGTAGCTGAGGCCACACAACTAGTTCTTAATGAGCACACTTAATTTATGCAACCTTTGTATGACATTGACAGGGCCGTACCACACATTTCTCTGGCCAAGGGTAATAATGATAATGGAAAGATATGGGCCCCTTTGTGAAAAGATGCATGCAAACAAATGATTGGCAGATAACTCAAGATCTATCTGTTTTGTTTTCTTTTACACTGCAGTGTTTTAAAAGAAGCTTCTCTTCAGTAACAAGATCTGTTCAGCTGGTACCTGAAAATACAACACGACCCCAGCACTTTCTATCTGACTCACAGGCTGCAGCCATCCTAGCCATGCCCACAGATGTTGGCCTCATCAAAGATTGTGACCTGCTTGTAATTACTCCCAAATCTGATTACATGCCATGTAAACAACTATATTTTCTGAAAAAAAAGAAGAAGCCATTGATGGCATCACTCCAGTGTTTGAATCTTTTAAAGACACTGGAATAATTATACACTGTGAGAAATCCCCTGTGCGCACTCTATTTTAAGAGTTTTAAAAAATTAAGAGATAAAGGTTAGCCTACAGAATGGAGATTTGTTCAGGACTTGCAAGCAGTAAATGCTGCAGTTAAGCCTTGAGCCACTTGTTTTGCTAAAAGGCACAGCTCTATTGCAATATGTTGCAATATAATGATTTGCAGCTCCACCGAAGAGTAATGTGAAAAAAAAAGATATGATTAAACTCTTGCAACACCTGGCCGAAGAGGGACACAAAGCTAGTCTCTCTAAACTGCAGTGTGTGCAACCAAAGGTTTTGTTTCTGGGTCATGTGATCATAGCTGAGGGCAAATCCCTCTCACCCAAATGAATTGAAGCCATCCAACAGCTGCCAAAACCACTCACAATAAATAAACAAACAAACAAAAAAAACAACTGATGTCCTTTTTGGAATTTCATCCCTAACTATGCCATATTAGAATCTCAATTTAGTGCACTGATTCATGGTAAAAGCCTACAATCTCATGATAAAGTGACATGGACCCCTGATATTGAGCAAGCTTTCACTGACTTAAAGTTAGCCTTGTAGACTACACCTACACTGGGACTACCAGACCTGACGAGAGCCTTCACACAGACTGTGGATGAGAAAAAGCATGCATGACATCTGTTCTCTTGCAGGAACATGGTGGACGACAACGCCCGGTTGCCTTTTTCTCTGCTAAACTGGACCCTGTTGCAGCTGGCCTTCCTTGCTGTCTAAGGGCAGTGGCAGTAGCTGAAAAAACTATTTTAGCTTCCAGAGAAATAGTTGGTTATTCTGATATCACTTTTCTCGTTCCTCATGGTGTTTCAATGATTTTGCTTGAACAGAAAATATCTCACCTCTCCACAGCACATTGACTCCGATATAACACTGTTTTACGCGATATGCCTAATGTCACCGTCAAAAGATGCACTGTTCTTAACCCTTAACCTGATGACGGTTAACTATTCTCCAACAGGTCTGCTCCCTTTGGGAAACGCCACTAACCAATCCTGACCTTGTCCTGTTTGTAGATGGTTTTGCCTCTAAAGATGCACAGACAGGATTAAATCGTGTTGGTTACGCTGTTTGTTCCTCTCATGCTACTGTTAACTTCAGCAGCTCTCCCTTCGCACTTCTCAGCACAGGTACCTGAACTTGTCGATCTGACTGAGGCGTACAAACTGACTGAAGGAAAATCAGTTACCATTTATACAGATTCTAGATCTCCAAACAGGTGAAAGCAGCTCTCCCAGCTCCAGACTCTGAACCCTTGCACAAGCTGTAGCCAGGGGACTGGGTCGTGATAAAGGAGTTCCGGAGGAAATACTGGAAGTCCAAAAGCTGGCAGGACCATTTCAAGTTCTGTTGACAACGCACGCAGCGGTTAAGATAGGGGAAGGAATGACCTGGATTCACGCCAGCCACTGAAGGAAGGTGCCAGAGCCACCTGAGATGACAACTAACTCTCCCAGCCCAGCACACTCACTCACACACACACCCTGATTAAGTGAGGCTGCGTTGAAACGTACTGTGAACAAACCAACAAATGGCTGTACATTTATATTATGTACGTTCTCGTGTTCTCTGTCTTGGTATTGCTTAGTGTGGTGTAATTTTTTGTTACTTAAACATTGACATTCAGCTTAAGAAAGTGTGTAATATCGGTTCAAATGATCTTAGTAGTTGGTTTAAGTAGATTTAAATGTATCACCTTATTTTCACAATGAACCTGATGATGTATAAATACACTGTCCATTTATACTACTGCTCTGGAGAGTGTAGCCAGTCAGTGTAGGCCTCCCAAGCTCATGTATAGGTTCATATGTGTCGTCACTGCCATCTAGTGGATAATAAGTCCAATGCAATGTAATGCTCACATTTATTCCACAGAACATGACTTGTCATATCCTTAACATCACATGACATGATTGAGTACAGAACAGAACAGACATCAGGTTGCAGGAGAAAATAAAATTTTCAGAGGATGAATTTTTAACAAACTATTCCACAGCTTATTCATCTGAGACAGGAGTTACAGTAAGCATTAGCTATAATGACAACAAACATACCATCAGTTAGTAGAATAACTACTAAGTCATAACATCACAACCTGAGTGAAATCTTATTGATGACTAAAAATCCACTGCACATTTTGCACAAATTGAACACTGACAAAAGAGAAATAGTATTGCTGCAAGAATAACATGTATCAGTCAGATTAAACAGGTCCTTTACCTACAACGGCAGCCTGGAAATCACTTAAACAGACAATATACTGTGATTGAGTACACCATCTCTTTTCTAATATGCAATGTATTCAAGCAGATCTATGGCCATAATCACAAATATGCACTCTTTACAACACAGAAGACTGGAAGTACAGCATTCTCGGTGTAATTACAATACATTACACTAGAAATTATTATTATTATTATTGTTATTGATGGTAAAATCACTTTCTTCAGTGTCAATTGCTTTAGTGCACATATTGTTACAGTACAGTTCGCTAGCAAACATCTCCCATTTGACTTTTTTGCTCGATGATATTTATCTATATACAAATATTGCAGTCATGTCCTCAAACTAAATTAAAACATTATTAGGATATTATGATTTTCTACAAATGCTCAGCGAGCAGCACACAGTAGGTCTACGAATAAATACGTTAACAGAGAAACAAAGACTAGACAAACAACATGAAATGCATATATGCCATAGGTCCTCCATATATTTTCTGTCTACATTACTAGACATAATAGCTACAAAATATTCTCTTCCCCAAGTATGCACTACAAAGTACAATGCAGAAGGGTTACATAAGAAAAGTATCAAGAAACACAACTCAGTGTAAAGAGAGCCAGCTCCTCCATTGCTCGTGTGTGCTTACAGTACATAGGGGTCTCAGTGCCAGTACAGCCCAGCAGGGGGCAGTCTTATCTTTACATCACATGAGAAAGTCAAGAGAATTTTGCTCAATAACAGGAAGAGGAACCACTGATGTGCTGCATTCATTTGGTGTGGCTACAGATACTCTTCTTCTTTTATGTAAAGGATCTCGTGGGCCGAGCTGGGAACCTGAGAGAGAAGGACATCCAGAAAAGACTGGCTGTCAGAGACAGGAAACACTTTCATACCGGCATTTCATTCAGTCAGTATGTGTTATTTCAACCACAGTAATTAATCATTATAGTGTAGAAAAATAATGCTTTTCAATACATATCCATTTGACTTACTGAGGCCAAAATATGTTATTATACAGGAGCTTAAATCACTTCAAAGTCACATAAAAGTTTTATTAATTTGTTGCCACCTATAGGTATCAGCCATTACACCCAAAGGAAGTAGCAGCTATTTCAACTTTACTGCTACAGATACATTTTATTTATTTATTTTTATGTCTGCTGTTGTTTTTCTGTGTATACATTTTGAAGCTTTACAATCTCCTGTCACTTTATGTTTCAGTGAATATTAAAGGCCGTGACAACTTTTCTCAATGCATTTGTGAGTATGAGGGATACGTTACAACTGATATTTCTGTATTTGTGTTGGTTTTGTCTGCACCTTTTTGACTGGAGCCTTCACAGTATCACATAGTTATCATCAGCAGACTGGTTCATGATTCTAGGCACCAGAAATGTTTTGAGCATCTGCAGTTTCTTGGCAGATGAGCAAACATCACATCACATCTCCTGATGAGTTTATAAT